TGATTTTCCAATTCCAGCTCCTTGCACATTTCATTATGACATTTTGCTTTGTCTTCCCGAGCAGCCCTTTGAAACCTTCTATTCAGCTCCTTAACTTCTTGATTTCTTCCATTTATTTTGACTTCTCAGTGCCCTAGTGCAATATTCAGAGTCTCTTCTGACATCTATTTTGGTCTTTTCTTCTTCCTTCTTTGTAATGACTTTTTGCATTCTTCATGAACAATATTCTTGATTCTTCCCACAGCTTATCTGGTCTTCGTTCATTAGTGTTCAAGGCCTCAAACCTATTTCTGAGTTTGTTTTTAAATTCATAGGTTATTTTATCCCCTGTGGATATGATTTAACCTTCTTTAGTTTTCATTTGAACTTGCATATGAGCAATTGACAGTCTGTTCCACAATCAGCACCTGGCCTAGTCTTTAATGCTGATATTGAACATCTCCAACGGTTCCTGCTACAGATATAATCAATCTGATTCCTGTACATCCCATCAGGTGAAATCCATGTGTATAACCTGTATCTCTGTTTCTTATAAAACGTATTTGCTATGAATAAATTGTACAGAATTGTACAGAACTCTATCATTCTATCCCCAAACTCATTTCTGTCACCAAGTCCATATTTTCTGACTATTGATCCTTCTTCCTGGTTCTAAACTTTTGCATTCCAGTCACCCATTATTACTAAAGCACATAAGCACATTGGTCACATGTTCAATCAATTTCTGACTGCAACAGTTGATAGAAAACATCTATTTCCTCCTCTTGACTCTGGTTTAAGTGCATAAATTTGAATGATAGTGGTATTAACAGGTCTTCCTTATATGTATATGGATATTATCCTGCCACTCATAATTTTGTATTTCAAGATGGTTCTAGAAATGGCCTTTTAAACTATGAAAGCAACCCCTTTTTTCCCCTCACCTTTTGATTTCCAGCATAATAGATATGATTGTGGAATTCAAAGTGTCCCATGCCAATCCATCTCAGTTTGCTAATAACCAATATGTCAATTTATGTATGCCATTTCTTTCTTTACAATGTCCAGTTTTCCTACATTCATACTTCTCACATTCCATGTACCAACTGTTATCCTTACAACTGTTTCTCCTTCTTTGTGTTTCCAAAATTGAGGGCTCAACTCCAGTTGCCATATCTGTTAGTCTACTCTACATGTGCTCTGCTGTACATAGGGTTTTCAAAGGTGAGTTATATTTCAGAAGTGAATGGCCATCCGTCTTCCTATTCTGTTAGAAGAATCTCTGACAGACAAGCATTTTTACCTACCAGATGAGAGACACTTTCCTTACAGAAATAATCAATACATTCACTGCCCACCCAACCCAAAGATGTGTGACTGGTCTCTATCCTTTCTCTGCTACATCACTATTCCTTTGCACACCAGGCTACTTGGTCAAACCCTCCCCACCCTAGCCATCTTTTAATATGATCACCAGGCACTTCTGTTATATCTTGCACTACACATGGCTACTACTCCCTTACACAGTTGTTTATCTCTTGTTTAGGAAGATCTAAGTCCTAATCCCATGTCCCAACTTCAGAGAAAGATTTTTGTATGAAGCCTTATAGAGGGAAGATCGTGGCCACAGAGCTTCTGCTAAGTTCTGTGACTTACTATCTCTGTTTACATTGCTGACACAGTGTGATAATTCCAAGGTTTGGACAAGTCTCTTCTAGATCTGATGCTGTGGTGGTGTCTGATTAAGGTAGCTGATGCCCTTCTGGGGAAAAAAGTGTTACCTGATCAAGGAGATTAGAGAGAGCTCTCAGATCCTGTCTTGTGTGACTCTGTGGGTTCTAGACCAAAAGACTATTGAGCAAAGAGAGCGAGGGAACACTATATGGTTTAAAATTTAAAAGGCAGTGCACCCAGGTTATATTCTCTCTCCATACATATTCAAACTGTGTGCTGAGCAAATTATTTGAGAAGTTGGACTCAATGAAGAATAACGTGGCATCAAAAACAGAGGGAGACTCATCAGTAATCTACCTTAGGCAGTTGACACTACCTTGCTTGCTGAAGCTGAGGAGAACTTGAAGCACTTGTTTCAGAAGATTAAATAATATGACCTTCTATATGGAGTGTCTCTCTGCACATGGCCTCTGGATCCTAGAAGAGAAAGAGGCTGTATAGCCCTGGTATGTCCACTTGCCATCCAAGGAAACTTGGAAGCTTAGAAGTAGGAGTGGCATCCACTTCCATAAATAGCTTGCCTCTGGAAACCCTATGAACCTGGAGAAAGAATGAAAGTCACGGAAGTGTCAAGGACTTTCATTCATAGGGTCACTATGAGTCATCTACAACTCGACAGCACTTAACAACAACAACAACAACAAACACATGGACTGCATCTCAACGTGAAGAAAACAAGGTTTCTTAGTGCTGGGCCAATAGGCAACATCATGATAGCTGGAGAAAAGTTTGAAACTTTCAACAACTTCATCTTACTTAGATCCTTAGAAACACTCTTGGTACCAGTAGCCAGGGATCAGGAGATATATTGCACTGAGAAAGCCTGAGTTAAGAACCTCTGCAAATTAATCAGGATCAATGATGTCAGGTTGAGGACTAAGGTGCATCTATTTCAGGCCAAGTGTTTTCAATGTTAGATGGATCTTAGCTGAAAGCAGAGAATACCAGAAGAATGTCTATCTGTGTTTCATTGATTATGCAAAGGCATTTGACTGCATGGATCATAACAAACTGTGGCTGACTCTGAGAAGAATGGGAATCCCAGAACATTTAATCGTGCTAACGCGAAACCTATACTTGGACCAAGAGGCAGTAGTCAGAACAGATCAGGGCAACACTGCGTGGTTCAAAATTGGGAAGGGTGTACGTCAGGGATGTATCCTGTCTCCATACCTTTTCAATCTGTATGCAGAGCAGATTATCCAAGAGGCGGGGCTCTATGAGGAGAGGCATGGCGTTAGGATTGGTGGACGATCTATCAACAATCTGCGTTATGCAGATGACACAACCTTGCTCGATGAAACTCAGGAGGACCTCATGCACTTACTGCAGAGGGTCAAGGACTGCAGCCTTCAGTATGGACTGAGGCTCAATGTCCAGAAGACAAAAATTCTCACCACTGGACCAATTGGTAGCATCAAGATGGATGGCGAAGAGATTGAGATTGTTCACAGCTTCAGTTTGCTCGGCTCCACGGTCAAACACTCTTGGCACCAGTAGCCAGGAAATCAAAAAATGTATTGCGATGGGAAAGTCTGCTGTTAGGGACCTCTCCAAAATACTCAAGAGCAACAGTGTCTCTCTGGAGACTAAGGTCCACCTGATACAGGCCATGGTTTTTGCAATCACTTGTTATGCATCAGAGAGTTGGACAATGACTAGGGAGGATAGAAGGAGAATTGACGCCTTTGAGCTGTGGTGCTAGAGAAGAGCATTGAATGTACCATGGACTGCCAAGAAAACAAACAGATTCATCGTAGAGAGGATTAAATCAGGCTGCTTCTTGGAGGCAAGGATTCTGGGGCTTTGTCTGACATACTTTGGACATGTTGTAAGGAGAGACAGGTCTTTAGAGAGAGACATCATGCTGGGTAGAGTGGAGGGACAGCACAGGAGGGGAAGACCCTCTATGAGGTGGATTGATTCAGTGACTGGGGTACTCGGGATGGGTGTGTCAGAGGCAATGAGATTGGCACAGGATAGGGCACGGTTTAGGGCTGTTGTACATAGGATCGCTATGAATCGCAAACGACTCGACTGGCACATAACAACAACAACAACAACTATGAATCTGACTGCTGGACAATGAAGAAGGAAGAAGATTCAATGCTTTTGAGTTGTGGTGTTGGAGAAAACAGGTAAAGATCCCAGGGACTGCCAAAAGAACAAACAAATATGTCTTAGAGAAGGCGCGGCCAAAATGCTCTTTGGAGGCAAAGATGTTAAAGCATTGCCTCACGTACTTCAGGCATGTTGCTAGGAAGGACTATTCCTTAGTAAGCAACATTATCCTCAAAAAGCCAGAGGGTCAGAGAAGGAGAGGAAGAGCCTCAACCGGGTGAAATGGCACAATGGCTGCCACAATGGACTCGAGTGTGTCTGGAAGGCACAGGATAGGACAGGCTTCATTACTGTTATTCATAAGACCACAATGAATAGTAATTCTCTCAATGGTACAACAACATGATGGAACAACAACATGAGAGGGATATCATCTAACCTTATTTTGCCTCAGCAATAAGGTAATCACTAGTGGCACCTTGGGAATTAATTCAGTCTTGCCTGCCATTACTTCAAGACTAAAACCAAAGCTACTGAAAAAAACAAAGCCAAGTCTACTGCCATCAAGTCAATGACTCCTAAGACTGGGAAACCCCACAGGACAATGTCGAACTTCTCATATGGCTTCTATGGCTTCAAATCACCATGCAGACAGACTATCTGATCTTTCTCGTGGAAGATTTGAAACACCAACCTTATGCTTACCAGCAGATTCGTTAGCCACTTTGTTGCCAATTCAAACTACTGGGACGAAGCAGAGGCAACTGATAAAAGTTCCTGGGTTCAGCCAAAGAATTTGTTTTCTGTGTTTTCTCATAGGAAACACATTGTTATAGGATTTATATTTTTTAAATGGCAAAAAATATATAACAAAAACACTCCCTATTATAAAATTTGAGTCAATTCCTTCCTATAGAACATTAAGATTAGGTTTCCAGAATGAAAGGAATAAACATGTATAGATGCAAATCAATTCTGTATTAGTTTCTTATTACCACATTAGAGAAAGCTAAGGATATAAGTTATGACTTAATTTTGATTTTGAATGCATTCAACGATCTAATGTACATAAAATAACCATCACAGAACTAAACTGATGCATCCAACAGCTGGCTGCATTTAAATGATTTCAAAATAAGTGCTTCTGAAAAGTCAGTTTTTAGTGTTTTGCTGCTTAGGAGTGAAGCAAATCACAAATATGTTTTTATGTTAATTTCCTCTGGCAGGACTGGGAATTCCCACATTTCATGGGCGATGTCGATGTAAATCTCCCTGGGTTGCATACTCCTCACATGCAATTCAAGATACCTGTCTTCCAGAAGATTTTCAAGGAAGAGTATCATATCCACATAACAGGTATGTTACAATATTGGGCACATTTTGAGTTGCTCCTTGTATATAACTTGCAATAATAACTAGTCTTCAAATGAAACAAACCTTAACATTTTGGAGGCACGCATCAGCGGGATTTTCTTCCCTTCTCAGTAGTGCAGGGTGGTTGCAAATCAGCTGGAAGTTCTACTCTACATGGTAACTCTAGGGTCTAGGCTCTGCTAACTTGAACTCTGCCATCCAGCATGAACCTGGAAATAATGAAGATGAGGAAAATGGTGCAGAAAGCTTACCTGTCTCTTAACCAGCTTAGTCTAGGACAAAACATGTTACCTCCCCTCATAGTTAGTCCATTCATAGCTGTGCTACTAAAGCAAAAGCTGCATGTCTTTGGTTGTGTGAATTCACTAGGAGCTCCATGGGAGAAAGTTGGGCAGTCACCTCCCGTTAGGATTCAGAGCTTAGAAACCCAATGGAGAAACACTATGTGTCAGAACCAGCTGATAACAGTGAATTTGAGTGAAATGGACTAATTTTTAAAAAATACTTTGTTTTACATTGGTTTGTTCTCAAATTACATTATGTTGCACACTATTCTTCATTCGTATTGTGTTTCATGCAATCATTCCCTTGCATTATGTTTTGTAAAATCAATCACCATTGGACCTTGGCCACCATTACCCACTCTTTTCAGGTCCCCATTGGATTCTTCTCAATTCCTTCACCCCCTCCCACCACCCGCCAAACTGTACAACCCTGTGTTTTTGCCCCTACCTATCCTCTGCTCCCACCCTTTTCCCTCATGGGTCTCCATACATGTTTTACTAGTTATCCTTCTATTTTTACAATAATGGTCTTATGCAGTATTCATCCATATGAGACTGAGTTAGTTCACTCAGCGTAATACTATCCAGTCTCTCCCAAGTTATGAAGTAGTTTTCGAAATTGTTGCTCCTGAATACTGCATAGTATTCCATTGTGTGAAAGTACTGTAATTTCTTAATCTATTCAGTTGTAGCTGCATATTTGGGCTGTTTCCATGATCTTGTGATGGTGACTAATGCTCCTTTGAACATCAGTGTACAGATCTCCATTTCTGTCTCAGTTCTAATTTCATTGGGGTATATTCCTAGTAGTAGAAAAACTGGGCCATATACAGTTTTTATATTCAACTTTTTGAGGAAATGCCAAGATGTCTTCGAGAGTGGTTCCCATTTTACAATCCCACCAACAGGGTATGAGAGTTCCCACCTCTCCACATCCTTTCCAACATTTATTGCTTGCTGCTGTGTTACATTTTGCCACTGGTACTGGGGTAAGACGGTATCTCATTGTGGTTTTGATTTGCATCTTCTCAGAGGAAGACGTCTAGATAGCCAACAAACACATGAAGAAATGCTCAAAATCACTGGCAACAAGAGAGATGCAAATCAAAACCACAATGAAATGGACTAATTTTGATTCAAGGAAAGCAGAAAATGTAGTTTCCACTTCGGCTGACACTTTTGGAAGCAAGTCTAGCATTCCAGAACAGGATAATCAAAGAGCAAAGGAAACCTTTGGTACGGATATATAGTTATGTCTACTGCACTCCACACACCACTATCCCTTGATCATTGTGAGGGTTTCTTTTTCACAAAATTCTGTTCAACTTATCTGTCTTAACATTAATGCTCTTTATGTTCCTTCTGCCTTTGCACTGAAATCAAAAACAATGATATCCTACAGCTACCTGCAGTTCGTATGCCTAAAGGGAATGAGACCATTTCTCATTTAAGTCAAACCTACTTCTGTGGCAGAAATTATGTTCCACGTTAGTCTAAAGTGATTCCTTTGTGAATCCCCAGATTATTTCATTTTCAGTATGTCCTGATTTTGAAGTGACACCAATAAGATTAATTATGATATCCTTTTGCCACATCTCCGTTACTTGTCAATGTCACCTAAAAAAAGACTCTGAGATTACAGTTTTCTGCTTTTAAAAAATAAAAAAAGAAACCAGAGATGGATGAATGATCACAAAGGAAGGCTGACATTAGTTCCCAAGCTGTTCAAATGCAGGTAAGTGAGCATGTGTGTTTTAAGAACAATGGCCTAGGATCCCATACCTGCTGTAATAAAAATGGCTGAAGAAATGCGTACTTACACTACCGTCTGTGCTGACGAATAAAAATAGCCTGAGTCCAGAAAATGTTAACATCTGAGAACTGCAAAAACCTTTGCTTCGTAATGAGGAGGTTGTTTTCTGTTTTGAGCGTGAAGCAACATTCCTAAATTGGTGAATGAGCTCATGAATAGGGAAGATAGAGCAGATTTCTTTTCCTATTTAAAATGAATAAGGCCCATTTATTAAATTCACTGGGTAAATCAATCAATTGGAGTGCAGGTCACATCGTGTGGTTTCTGAGTCCCCACTTAATCTCTGTAGTGTGACACCCGTGCGGACTTCTAAAACAGCTATCACACACGGCAGCATCATGCCCCAATGGGTGGGCTTTCGCCTGGACCATCTGTTCTTGCAATCAGCTCTTGTCTCAGACCATCATTGCACTAATATTGTCTCTGACTGAGTATCAGAATGCTTGTCCAAAATGCACTATTTAGGTCTGGAGCGTCAGGTGAAAATGCAATAATTGGATAATTCACTGATAAGGAAATAATCAAGCTGTTAAATAATATTTGATTCAGAACAATTCTGGCACCTGTACTGCCATTTATAGGTAGAACCTGATTCAGCTTCTGTATTGCCCTAAGTTTATACAATTTGAAGTGCCCTACTTAAGAAAATGAATCCAAAATTGCATCTTTAAACTAAATGCAATGCTTTGGCAGAGGGCCATGCTTGCAAGAGTCTCAGAAGCGTCCATGTCATTGGCTTCAAGGTAGATCCTCTTTCATATCTGGAAAGAAGCAAATACATGATTTCCATTTGAACTAAAAGCTTTGCGCCTCTCCCATTTATCCACCACTCCACCCCCTGTCACCAAATACTCATCGCTGTGGAGTCAAAACCAACTCAGAGCTGGTCCTTCAACAGGTTCTTGAAGGTTGTAAATCCCATGGGATGAGAGTGTTCATCTCTTGAGGAATTACGGGTGGATTCGTATCTCCAGAGATGCACAGCCGCCTTTGGATTAGCTCCACAATTCCCTACAAACTACATTCCCAGAGCTCCCTTGTACTATTTTCCAAAACTTTACAAGGAATTGAGGCTAGCTAAGTTTCTGTAATAGAGACCACATATTAACAAGGTTTGCCAGAAGGTGGGAATGCACTATAACTTAGATTTCGCTGTGGTATTTTCCAAATTATGCAGATTATCATATGCTCTCTGGAGCACTTCAGCAGCTATGGCTAACTGGATCTCATCCCTAAATACCCTGTCCCGGTAGGTCTGAGTAAGGGTTGAGGAATGGGTATTTTATAAATTCTCACCAAGACAATGCTTTCTTCAAGACCTACTCCCTTTTCACAGAGAAGTGAAATGAGAGACATGAAATTAGATCATTTGTCTGGGACGTTGTTGCCGTTAGGTACCATGCAGTCAACTATGGCTCACAGCAATCTTCTATACAATAGATCTGAATCTTGCCTTATCCTGTGCCACCTTCATAATCTCTGATATGATTAAAAAATAAAAAGTGTAATACTGCCTGTGGGAGCTCCGGTGGCCTCGTAGCAAGAAGCTGCACTGCAATCCCAAAAGCACGTGGTTCAGATCCACCAGCTGCCCTACGGTAGAAAGATGGGCCATCTCTTCCTCTGCAATTAACTGCCTCTGAAAACCCACCAGAGAGTCAGCTGTGGGTCAGTTTTTACTTGATGGTACTCAACCACAACCATCCTGCCTGTGACGGTTAAGATGACTTGTCACCTGGACTGGGCCCTTGTTCTCAGTGACTTGGCAGTTAAGTAATGATGTAATTGGGAAATAAGGTAATGAGGTAAGAAATAAACTTTAGACTGGTTCCTCTTCAAGGTAAAAGAGAAAAAGGACAGAAGGACCATAGAAAACAAACTGTTAACTGGCATATCTGACCACAGGACCTTGGAATGAGTGCATAAATAGGATAAGGGGAGAGGAGGCAAGAGAAGAAGGGGGGTTGTAAAGAGAAGATAAGACTTAGGAATATGCTGAAAGAATGTACACCCATAGTACTCAAGGAGGAATCAAGGGAGGGACATGTGAGCTAGGAAATAAAAACTCTGTGGGCTAGGGAAGGCATACTAGCCTCCTTCTTTATCTGGACTTGGGGGCTGATTTTGCAAAATTGCTTAATAAAGCCTCATTATCATTCTCACAAAAACAAACACAACCCAACCAGGGTAGCTATGGATATGATCTTTGGATGATAACCTTCACCATCTGCATTTTTATCCTTTCAGGCAAGATGGTCAGATGCATCCCCAGAACCATGATAGAAATTGCTCGGGAAATGATTTCATGTTTGGAGGTTGTAGGAAGTCAGAGCTTTTCTCCTCTTGCTTTTGTTTCTTTACTCTCTTTGTTCTATTAATTGGCTGGAGAGGTTGCTGAGGCCACTCTGAAACCAGACAATTATCAACATCACCTGGCAGAGTATTTTCCAAATACCCATTCCCTGACCCTGGCCCAGACTTATTGGATCAGAAATACTAATTGGCTGAACATGTAGCTTCCTGTAAAAGGCTGTTTACTTTTCTGGATTTGTAAGAAAATTGTTTCTGTGGAAATGTAGGACAAAATTTCCAAAATATTATATTATCAGTTACATTTTTATATTCATAATCAGCAGTCTACACATTGCTATGTAAATTGCAAATGTCAACACTTTTGGCACCAGCAGCCAGGAAATTAAAAGACATATTGTGATGGGACAGTCTGCTGTTAGGGACCTCTCCAGAGTACTGAAGAGTAATGACATCACTCTGGAGACTAAGATGCTCCTGGTACAGGCAATGGTCTTTGCAATCACTTGCTACATCAGGGAGCTAGACAATGACTAGGGAGGACAGAAGAATTATTGATGCCTTTGAGCTGTGGT